GTTTGGTCCATTAAATCCAGGCAAAGTTAGGCTCAAAATACAAGGAGGTACCCTCAATGCAAGATTACAAAGGAAGAAAAACATTGATACATGGTTCTGATAAATAATAAGTCCTTTTCAGAGTAAAAAAAACAGTTAATAAATTCATAATTAAAGGAAACTACAACTTCTCTACATTCAGAGAGGAAACCAAATCTCTCTAAGCCAATAATTAAACATCTTTATAAAGCTTTTTATCCAGGATCTGGCTTCTAATACTGTGCATAGCACATAATAGACACTCATGAAATACTCATTTTTATTTCCACACAATATCTTTATCCATTTAAAAAGATGGTTCTTGTTTTTGCTACTTCAGAGAAAAAAATAATCCAGGGAGCTGAACCAATGATTTGAAATCATAAGGATCCCTCCCAGATGGGGTGAGGCCCGAGAGAGGGAAATGGAGTTAGCAAACCTGTACCGTGCCTTCTACTGCAGTATGGTTTGGGCCATTTGGTAGCGGCTCAAAAAGTCCTGATGGATAGAGCCACACCTTTGTCCGGTGCTAGCAAACACAAGCACTCACATTGTATTCAGGCTTTTCTATAAACTGTCCTCCCAAGGAAAGCAACCTCCCCCTCATCCTGCTGAGAGGATCTGAGGTAGGAACAGCTGAGACCCCACTTTCCTCAGAAGAAAACCGAGATTAGCCAGGGCTTCCTATGCAAATGGAAACAGAGCCGATGTGCGGGAGTGGTAGGGGATCGTTTCACTATTCCACTCCAAACTTTATAGCAGGATCCTGGCTCAACAGTCTGAAGCTATATGTTGAATCTATATGAAGAAATGTAACAGGGTCCTACTGAAACAAAGCCCTAAGTTAGGTCTAAACCCCAAAGCAAATAAAAATGGTGGAGACTCGCCAGGTCATGAATGTGGCATAGGTCAGTCCCCACTGGGGACTTTCTACCCTTTCTTGAGCCCCATAATCAATTGCATCTTCCATCTGGAACCTGAGAAATTGCTGGCCTTGAAACTGTAAAACCAAATTGTTGAGCTGAACTGAACTGAATTTTTATACAGAATTTTTTTGAGGGGACTTCTGTGTCCTTATACACCATATACCTGTGAATAGGGTGCAGTATCTACATTATCTGTGAATACAAAGTGAAGTTAACTAACAGGACAAATAGTTGCAGGTGATGGAAGGGAGGAAAAAAACTGTCTATGGGGGATGAAGAAACCTTCTGTGAGAGAAGAGACTTAAGATAAAATTTGAAAAGGTCAGATGGAAATAAAAGAACAGATATAAGACATAATCTTGAGGGATTTCACAGGTTTCCAGATCCACAGAATGGCTATTATGGCCTGCAGCACATTTTATCAGGAAAGGGACTGAATAAGGGACAGCAGAAAAAAATGAAGAAGAGTTTGTTCAGTGAGGATAAATTGAAGGTCCTTATGACACGTCTTCAGAGACAGACTGCTTGTAGTCTAGTGAATGAAATTTAGACCTTTCACCAAAATAAAGGGAATGTCCCAGATCATATTGTCAGTAGATTGTGGAAGAGCCACATGTATAAACGTGTGTGTGTGTGGGAGGGGGGAAAGGGGGTGGGGGGGTGTTTACCGGGCTCTCCCATAAGTTACCAGTTGCACACATTAATCAAAGTGCACTACCCTCCATCCACTTTTATATTACCTGTCTGACTTTGTGCCAATTTCTTTTCTCCTCCCCAACACCGTTAGCCTCACAGTTCTTCTTTAAGACATGGGATGGGGATTTGTCAAAGTCAATGAGCACTTTATTACAGTGAGAACACTCCGTAATGAACAATTCAGCAATTTAATGAGATTCTGTAGATCTGTCTCCAGCCTGTCCATCAAGTTTCACTTCTATAAAGCACCCTGACACTAATCCTCTGGCATACCCAATCTTCACCCTGGGCTGAATATTAGATTCTTCCATGGTATATTGCATTACTAGTATAACCTCAGCAAAAAATGATGAACTTAACTATACTTGAGGCAATATAGCTGGTCTGATTTGATTTTTCTCTATTGGGTTGAGTATGAGGGAATTACTTATATACTAAGATAAAGCAAAAACAGTTTCTTATTGCCTGCTGAATGCCTAAATGGACCATATTTATGTGAGTTTTTTAATTCTTTCTTGAGGACCAGGTATAAAAAAAATGTTGCCTGCAGCCAAAAGCCGTTTTTAAAATTTGACATTATAATATTAGTAACCTTTAGAGAGGCAATTGTGGTAACTCATAAGTGGACAGGATGGAATTTTTGGACACTCAGACTAGACTTGTGCACACTGCCATGTCTATCTCTGGCAGTGCCGTCGACCACGCCACCACAAGAGGCAGAAGCCACAAGGATGGTTGGCTCAGATCTCAATTCAGTTAGAAATAATTAAATGCAGAATTCATTCCAAGTCTTTCTTTTTCCCTTTGGGAAAGGAAAGAAAAAATTGTATCAATTTCCCACTTTGAATTGCCCCCAAAATTCTGATGATTTGTGTTACCAGGGAGAACAACAGATAATTAAAATTTATACCTGAAAGGGCGAGTAATCGCGGGGCCTGACCACAATGCTGGCGGCCTCGGGCACCGACTCCCCAGCCCACGGTGGGAGCCCGGCGCAGGCTGCCACGCGCCTGCCGCCCCCGGACTGGACCCACGCAGCAGCAGCAGTGGCGGTGGGGCGGGGCGCGTGCCCTCGCTAGAGGAGATGGAGGAGGAGGAGGCGATCGCCAGCGCCCCCGGGAACGAGACGGAGGACGTGGACTTCCTGTCTGGGCTGGAACTGGTCGATCTGCTGGACCCCCAGCAACCGGACTGGCCCCTGGAGCCTGGGCTCAGCTCGCCCTTGGGGGGGCGAGGACTGCGCCCTTCATCTTGCCCTGGGTCCTCCATTTTTGGGGCGGCCACCATGTGCTCAGGAGAGTGCCTTCTTCCCGGAAGCCCAGGCCCCTGCTGGCCACGCCCAGGATTTCTTTAAACTAACCAATGACAATCAAGGGACGTGCATGCCAGAGAGATGGTGTAACAAGACCCGACTCGTGCCTGGCCAATCGGCGGGGGGGACTCCCTCCCCTGCCCTTACTATAAAACCCACAATCCCATCAGGCCTCTCTCTCTCTCTCTCTCTCTCTCTCTCTCTCTCTCTCTCTCAGCCACTGGAGCTTACCGTTGCATCGGTGAGTGTGGCAGGGGAGCCAAACCTAGGTTTGAAATGAATGACTCTGCTTTTGCATCGGACTCGCTGGCTCCCTGTGGGGGTTCTTGGGAATCTTGAAATCTGGGCACAACAATACCTAAAGCTCATCTTCCCCAAACACTTTTGACCTCTGCCTGAACAAACATTATGAGAAATACCTAAGAAGCAGAAAAAAAATCTAGAGCTTATTCCTGTGTCCTGATATTTTGTTTTTCAAGGCAGTGTGGAACACTGCATAAATGAGGGCAGGTGTCAGCAGACTTGGACTTGAAGGCTTACTCTGCTCTGTAACCCTGAGCAAGGCACCAAAGCCTCATTTTGCTCCTCTGTTAGATGGGGTGATAACAGCCATCCTTCAGGCCTGTTGTGATGATAAGTCAAAAGTTTGAAAAGAACCCAGGTCTGGAAGGCCCTCAGTACACCACAGCTCTTATTACCATCACTGATGGAAGCAACAATGAAGAAAGAAGCTGCTGATTAAAGTAATGCAAAGGAAGAAGTAAGGAGAAAGACATCAGAAAAAGTATTAATCTGCAGAGTCAGATACTGGATTTATTAACAGCCACCTCTCCCTCTGCTTTGGCTATTGGCTCTCTGAGTGCTATTTGGTAACTCACTGCCTTATCAGCTAATGGAAGACTTCATATTTTCCCCAGAATAGTCTGTATATAAGTATTTCTCACATGATCAGGACATTTTGAAGGTATGCTGCCCTACAAGTAACAAGATGGCTAGCCCGTGTTTCAGAGAGTGAGACAGACAGTCTTTAGATGCAGGGGGAAGATGGGCTCTGACTGTTTCCCAGACACCAAGCGGATTGTTCAAGGATAGCCACTGGGGATGAGCAGAGAAGGATTTAAATTGAATAATCAACTTGAAAACACAACACATCCTCCTGTCCCCGAGACAAAGGATATTCAAAAAGAATGCCATGTCAGGCGAAAAGGCAGGGCTCAGGAAACTAGCAATGAATGAAGCCTGAACTGAGGAGGGAGATTTTTCCACTACAGTGCAAGAAGAGCTTCATTTCACTAAAGGTCTCAGTTGCTCTCTGATGCAACAAAGAAATGTCTCTGAATTGTTTATAGGCAAGCCCAGGCTTATTCTGATTCCACTGGTCTTGAAACTGCATAAGTACCACTTGACAATCCATTCTTCTCTTATGCAATTTAAGACAATATTTTTTATCAGGAGAAAAAACACATAAGCCTTTGATTTGGGGATTTGGGAAGTCACAGGGAGGTCCCGAGGATTCTCCCCTGCGAACCCCCGAGTGAACTGAGCTGGCTAAGGCCTCCAAGCTCCACGGGCTGGTTCTTCAGTTCCTCGTCCACCAAGGAGCGTGACTTCTAAGCCTTCGAGTCCAGTGAGGACCAAACCAAACAAAATATTTCTTATTGTCCCTCAATCCTTTAACTTTTTGTTGTTGTTGTTAATCCTCACCCAAGGATATTTTTTTCCATTGATTTTTAGAGTTGAAGGGAGGAGGGAAACGGTGAGGGAGAGAAGGAGAAGGAGAGGTAGAGAGAGAGGAAGAGAGAGAAAGAGAGAGGAACATCAAAGTGAGAGAGACACATTGATTGGTAGCTCCCACATGAGCCACGAGTGGGGCCAGGGATCAAACCTGCAACCCAGGCACATGCCCTTGACCAGGAATCGAACCCACGACCTTTAGGTCCGTGGGCCAATGCTCTCACCATTGAGCACACCGGCCAGGACAATCCTTTAACTTTTAATCATTTCGTGCCCTCTCCACACCCAGAGAGCCCCACGCAGAGCACCCTTACCTGCCAGATCTGCTCTTCACTCAGGGAGGTCAGGCGGTCGCTCTTCAGGACCTCCTGAAGCAGACAATAAGGGAGCGTTAGAACGTCTTCCGGGCGGCTCTTCAGGAGTTCAGAGAGATGCTTCACTAAGAAATCGATCACTGCCTTCTCCAACAAAGTGAGGTTAAAGAGGTCAGCAAGTCTGTACAGATCCAAGTAATTAAAGATATTTAATTCCTGGGTGCCAAAAAAAAGGGGGGAAAATATCTTAGAAATCAATCCAAGAAAGAGCAGGCAAGAAATTCAGATTGAGGTCTGCATGATAGGAGTGGGACAAATGGGACTGCACTCCACTGAGAATTTAAAAAAACACACACAAAAAAACAAGCACCCCAAACCTCAATTATAAGGCTCTGAGCAGAGAACTGCTATTTTAGAATTCATCTTTTCTCCTCAATTTGCCCCTCTTAAAATCTATATATTTAAAGACATCTTAACAAAGGGATTGAAAGGGGTTTCTGGTTTCACTAAGATACTTTCCAACGTTTTAGAAACATTTACCAATGAAGACAATTTTCCTACCTTTACCATATTTTACAGCTCTCAGGTGATAAATCTTTCCACTAAAGATGAGGGCAGGTAAAATGGGAGTTGTGAGTAGGACACAAACTATGTGAAAATAGACAAACTCTTCTCTTTTTCCAAAACTTCAAATTACATCTTCGAGTAAAAATAATCCGCCCTGACTTAATGAAATTAAAACACAGATATTTACATGTAAGGTCTCATGAAATTAAGAACTCTCACAGAAAAGATTCCCACTATAAATAATCCTATATTGAATCCTCCTAAGACTGATGATTTATAATAGTTCTTTGTTTTTTTTTATTAGCCTCAGACAACCAGTGGTAATCATTCCCTCCTTTTCAAAGAGTTTCTGTAGCAATGGTTCATTTTGGGGGGATTTTACTTGTCCCTATAAGTTCTCAAATTCATAACCAGGCCTCTCAGATCATGCTCCAGAGAGGCCTGGCTCCGTGGGAAGCTTTGTCTTGTAACTGCAGGAATCAGAGTGGGCACACAGGCTTGTTGATAGAAAACTTACCCATTACAAGGCAAACTGTGTCCTAGTTTGCCCTAATTTTTAACTTGTGATTATTAACATGTGATCAATATTTTCCAATAAGTTAAGAAATGCAGACTATTAATACACTAGAGGCCCAGTGCACAAAAATTTGTGCACTCGGGAGGGTCCCTCAGCCCGGCTTGTGCCCTCTCTCAGTCTGGGACCCCTCGGGGAATGACCACCTGCTTGCTGGCTTAGGCCCACTCCCCGGGGAATTGGGCCTAAGCTGGCAGTCAGACATCCCTCTGGCAGCCCAGGAGCCCTCGGGGGATGTCCACTTGCCAGCGGGGAGCAGGCCTAGCTGCAGTTGGACATCCTTAGTGCTGCTAAGGAGGCGGGAGAGGCTCCCACCACCACCGCTGTACTGGCAGCCATCAGCCTGGCTTGTGGCTGAGCAGAGCTCCCCCTGTGGGAGCACACTGACCACCAGGGGGCAATTCCTGCATTGAGCGTCTGCTCCCTGGTGGTCAGTGTGTGTCATAGTGACCAGTGATTCCTAGTCTCTCTGCTGTTAGGGTCAATTTGCACATTACCCTTTTATTATATAGGATAGAGGCCTGGTGCATGGGTGGGGGCCGGCTGGTTTGCCCCGAAGGGTGTCCCGGATCAGGGTGGGGGTCCCACTTGGGTGCCTGGCCAGCCTGCGTGAGGGGCTGAGGGCCGTTTTCAGGCTGGCCACACCTTCTTCAGGGTGGAGGGTCCTGCTGAGGTCCCTGGACAGTCCGGGTGAGGGGCTGATGGCTGTTTGCAGGCTGGCCACAGCCTCTTCAGGGTAGGGGTCCCTGCTGGGGTGCCTTGCCAGCCTGGGTGAGGGGCTGATGGCTGTTTGCAGGCTGGCCAAGCCCCCCAGCAGGGACCCTCACCCCATGAGGGTGTGGCCATCCTGAGTGAGGGGCTGATGGCTGTTTGCAGGCTGGCCACAGCCTCCAGCCACCTAAGCTCCCAGTAGAGGCTGGCTGGAAGCAGGTATCTGGGACTTATTTAGCTCCTATAATTGAAACTTTGTTGCCTTTGCGGAGGCCACAGCGGGCCAGAGCAGGTGGGAAGCTTGGGTTCCTCCATCACCAGGGCAACCAAGCCTCCTGCTTGCTCCAGCTCCATGGCTGCCAGCTGCCATCTTGGTTGGGTTAATTTGCATATAGTCACTCTGATTGGCTGGTGGGCGTGGCTTGGGTGTAGTGAAGGTATGGTCAATTATCATCTTTGTCTTTTATTAGTGTAGATCAGATAGCTATTTTACTACACTGACCTATTTAGTAATTTTCAACATACTTTTCCACTTTTCCAGTTGTCTAAAAGTATTAAGAACTCTTTCTAAAATATTTTATTCTATTTTAAAGTATTTGTTTCTTTAATATTTGAAGGAATATGTTCTAAATCTGTGCTGCCCAACATGGTAGCCACTGGCCACATGTGGCTACTGAGCATTTAAAATGTGGCTACTCTGATTTGAGATGTGCTGTGTTAAACATAAACCAAATGCAGGAAGAAAAATAGAATGTAAAATATCTCATTAATAATCTTTATATTGGTTATATGTTGAAATAATATTATTCTGGATATAGTGAGTTAAAGATGTCATCATAATTAATTTCACCTGTTTCTTTTTACATTTTTTAACTCAGCTGCTAGAAAATTTAAAATTACGTATGTGGCTCCCATCACTCTTCTATTAGACAATGCTACTCTAAATGATAAAATGCATAATAAAGATATTGTAAAAACAACTCTCCAAGTAAAAGCTGCATCATCACCATGGCTACCTAATTTTTTTTTTTTTTTACTTTAGATTCTGTATCTTTTGGTGGGAGATGACACTATAATTATATTCCTAATAGGAGTCAAGCTTGATGTCAGGAATCAGCCATAAGAGACCAGTGCTTAATAGCTGTTTGCCAACACAACTGAAAAGGAATAAATGCTTCTTTACAATAAAGGTTACCTCAGATGGCCACCAAAATCGACTGCATCTCAAATACCCAACTGCCTGCTCCCAGCTATTCAATAAAAACATCCTGGCTTCTTGTTCAGTAGATTTTATCAAAGCAATACTGATGATTTTTACTTCAGCACCATTTCTTTCGAGTAATGTTTAAACTCATTCTCCAAATCTTATTTTTTAGGATTGGTAAATTCTATTCTGAGGGGGAAGTAGGCGTAACCCCTGTATAAAGCTTCTGTAGCAAACTTGAGTACCATCTTCTCTGGATGAAGAAGTTATTTCTGGTCAGTATATCTATGAAGCACGTTTAACTGCTGCAGGACCCTGCATATGATTTCAGCGTCCCTGTAGATTACTCTGGAATGTGATGGGTGGTGGGTGGGTTCGGTATCAGTGCCCTTCAGGTCCCCAGGCACATAGCCAAGACACGGCTCAAGGTCCTGAGGCAGCGCCTGGCAGCACCACACGGAGAGAGGGCACGTGCAGAGGCAGAAACAGCCAAGCTCCGCAAAGTAAGAGCGGAGAACACACACAGCTCAGGAACAGGGTTTTCCCACTGGTTCCACAAAAAGGGTGCATGCAACTGAGTTTGAGACGGGAGTGTGTATTAGCAACCAAATATCCTTTCTTAAGCATCTTTATATAGAGAAGCTGGGTTTCTTCCCATTAGATGCCTGCACTTAAAAGCAGGCCAATTCAAAACTCTGGAAAGCCAGAGAACTAATTTAACTTAATTGGGGATATAAAAATCGATTAAAAAACTGAAAGCTCTTCCTCTAAAATTAGGAACAAAACAAGGAGCCCCAGTCTCACCACTCTTATTCAACATAATTCTGGAAGTCCTAGCCAGAGCAGTCAGTCAAGAGAAAGAAATAAAAGGCATCCAAATTGGGAAGGAAGAAGTAAAAGTGCCACTTTTTGCAGATGACATGGTTCTTTATATAGAAAAGCCTAAAAACTCCACAAAAATACTATTAGAAACAATAAGGAAGTACAGTAAAGTTGCAGGATCCAAAATCAATGTACAAAAATCTACTACTTTCCTATAAACTAACAAGGAAACTTCAGAAAAAGAAATGAAAAAAAACAAAACAAAGCAAAAAGCAATTCTTTTTGCAATTGCAACCAAAAGAATAAAATACCTAGGAATAAAGTTAACAAAGGATGTGAAGATCGTATATACTGAAAATTATAAAGCATTATTAAAAGAGACTGAAAAAGACACGATAAAACTGAAAGATATGTTTGTTGTGTTCATGGATTGGAAGAATTAGCACCATTAAAATGGCCATATTACCCAAGCAATATACAGATTTAATATAATCCCCATCAAAATCTCAATGTCACTTAAAAAGAATAAAACAAAAATCATCAGATGTGACTAGAACCACAAAAGACCCCAATAGCCAAAGCAATCCTGAGAAAAAAGAATGAAGCTGGAGGTATCACACTGCCTGCCTTCACATTATACTATAGAGCAACAATAATCAAAACAGCATGGCATTGGCAGAAAAACAGACACACAGACTAATGGAACATAATTGAGAACTCAGAAATAAAACCACATGTATATAAGCAAGTAGTTTTTGACACAGGAGCCAAAAATACACAATGGAGAAATGAAAGCCTCTTAATAAATGGTGCTGGGAAAACTGGAACGCCACATGCAAAAAAATGAAACTAGACTACAGTTTGTCCCCATGTTCAAAAATTAATTCAAAATGGATCAAAGACCAAAATATAAGATCTGAAACAATAAGTTACATAGAAGAAAACACAGGTAACAAGATTATGGGCCTTGGTCTTGGAGAATATTTTATGAATTTGACCATAAAAGCAAAGGAAGTAAAGATCAAAATAAATGAATGAAACTACATAAAACTAAAAGCTTCTGTACAGCAAAGGAAACCCACAACAACAACAAAAGACAACCAACCAAATAGGAGATGATATTTGCAAACAACAGCTCAACAAGGGGCTAATATCCAAAATATATAAAGAACTCATACAACTCAACACCAAATAAACAATCCAATTTTTTTAAAAAAAATGGTTCTTCTTTTCTGCTGTTGCATTTGAAGGTAATTATTTAATGTTTGTTTCTACAGTCCTGAAATGTTTTTATTTCCAAAGAGTATAATTTTATATAATGCTCAAATCCAATCTAAT